AATGGGATCTGTTTTTCTACAGTTACTTTGCTAATGGAACATTTATGGGGTCTACTCTGATTAGTGCACTTTAGTTTACTATCGTTAACTAATTCACATTTTGACTGGAAAGGCAATCAAAATAAATCTTGTAATTTAAATATCCACCTACATCCACATCATTGAATTAAACCTACATAACATCCCATTCATTCTGGATTACTATTCCCAGGGAAACATGTGGAAGACAAAATGTGGCCAGGATAAAAATTTATGAATAAGATTTCATTATGTTTGAATTTCATTGGTTTGAAATCAATTCACAGTCAGTGCCCTGGGTAGACTCATGTGCAAGGCTGGCAGGTGAATATGACCCTTAGTTGCAATAAAGTGGTGAAAATATTCCTGGATCCCTCAGGAGAAGATGTTTACAGTGAAACATTAACTTCGATTTCACTTCACCGATGCTGCCTGCTGAGGTTTTCCAGCAATTTCTGTTTTTGTTTATGATGAAATAAATCATTCCCTGCGGAAGGGGGTCCAGAACAAGGATTAGGCACAACGTTACATTTAGAGCAAGGGCGATGATCTGCAATTGCTCTTAATAAATGGTAGTGAAAACCGGAATTCTCTCCCACAAAAGGCTATTGAGATGAGGTTAATTGAAATTTTGACATTAAAGTTATTTTAAATTTAACTTTTGGTTTAAATAAAAAAGCCATTATTTTAAAATTCTATTTTTAACTGAATCAAGTTCAGAATCCTTGCTGGAAAAAGACAAAGAATTTAATTCCACATCCCTACCTGTATAAATTGCAGCAGTTTGACACAGGGAATTGTCTCCATATTTCCTCATTAAGTCCTGCTTTTTCTTGGAAAGGCAAAACTAGAGGAGGCAGATTCGCTGCCATGACCTTCAATGGGCTTCCACCGTGGTGGCACAGTGGTTAGCACTGCTACCTCACAGCACTGGGGACCTGGGTTCAATTCCACTCTCGGGAAATATCTGTGTGGAGTTTGCATGCTCTCCCTGTGTGTCCGTGGGTTTCTTCTGGGTGCTCTGGTTTCCTACCACAGTCCAAAGATGTGCAGGTTGGGTAGATTGGCCCTAGGAAATGCAGGGGTAGGGGGTTGGGTCTCAGTGGGATGCTCTTTGGAGGGTTGGTGTGGACTCGATGGGCCAAAGGGCCTGATTTAACTCTGTATGGATTCTATGAATCTCTGCCACGTTAGTGGGAAGGACAAAACAGGTCTTCAGGCAAGGGACACTTTTTTTTTAAAACTCTTCATGCAACCAGGCAAGATTTGGGGGAGGGTACAGTACTTTGCTGAAAGTCAGGGCTGGTAAGAGAATGAGGAGTTGCCTCCCATCTTTGAAGATTAAAGGAAGATACATAGCAAAGAAGCTCAAATGGAAAAGGAAGTTAAAACATACTTTTGTCAGACCTCAATACCAAATTGGCGATCCAACTCATTTAGTGAAGAATGGCCGATTGTAGGGCACTGTTTTGAGGCACAGTTCTTGGGGGCAGAGTACAGGTAGCTTTACTCTGGATCTAAGTGAGCTACATTTGACATTGGAGTGCTTGACGATAACAATGGTTGCACGTAAAGGGTTAATTTTCCTCCAACACTAACACTCCCCACTGTGATCAGCACAAAACACTGACCAAAAATGGGCATATTTCCTTAAAAAACGCTAAAATGATTGTCTCTATTCTTAAACAATACAATACTTAAACTATTCCTTTTAAATAAAACTAAATAACTCTATCGTGTGGTGCATTAGCTGGGTCTATGTTCTTGCAACTTTGGACAACAGTTTGGGTCAAGGATCATATTTGAACTTTGACTTAAGCAAAGTCAACAAATCTAAGCAATTTTGCATTGTTTGGTATTTTTGTTTAGTGTCTAATTTTAATATCAAACTAATAATGTGATTGTTTACCCCTGGATATCTGCGACAGTGGAGCCTGTCTCAGTGCTTTACATGGAATGAAAATACTTAAATAAAAAATTTCTAAAAATATACCACTGGCCCAGAGAAGCAATAAATTTCACAGGATCTTGGTTTCTCCCACTATGAACCTGATGAAGGCTCTGAGCTTGATCTGATAGGGAAGGTGATTTAGCGGAGGTGATGGCCGAGTGGTATTATCGCTGGACTATTAATCCAGAGACCCAGATAACGTTCTGGGGACCTGGGTTCGAATCCCGCCACAGCAGATGGTGGAATTTGATTTCAAAAAATATCTGGAATTAAGAGTCTAATGATGACCAAGAATCCATTGTCAATTGTTGGAAAAAAAACCCACCTGGTTCACTAATATCCTTTAGGGAAGGAAATTGCCATCCTTACCTGGTCTGGCCTACATGTGACTCCAGACCCACAGCAATGCGGCTGACTCTTAACTGCCCTCTGGGCAATTAGAGATGGATAATAAATACTGCCTAGCCAGCAACACTCTCATCCTGTGAATGAATAAAGAAAAAAAAGACCCTGAAGCTAGGGTGGGGTACCACACTGTGTTTTAAGTATCAAACAAGACTTCAAATAAGAAATGAAGAAAGTAACTCTTCTTCTCCTATTTACTGTAACTTCCAAATAATTTGATGTAAGAGTTTACCACTTTTTTGCTGTCACACATCAAATCTGAACATGAGGGGCAAGTCTGCATTCAGTTTCAAGCAAGTGATGGAGTTTTTTTCGAGCACTCAGGAAGCTGAAAACTACCTTCAGCAATGATGACAGACATCAGGACTGGATTGCATCCAAGTTCCCCACAAACAGACCCTGAACACATTGGGCTTTAGCTAAAACACAGACGAGGAGAATTTTTCTTTTTCTCACAGAGGGCAAGAATCCTTGGGACTCTTTTCCCCAAAAGACGGCAGAAAAAGAAATGCTCAAATATTTTTAAGACCGACACAGGAATATTCTTGACAAGTAAAGGGGTGGAAGGTTATCAGAGCTGGACAGGAAAGTGGAGTTATTAGACCAGCCATGCTCTTACTGAATGGAGGAGCAGGCTTGCTCCAACCCAACAAAGTGCCTCAAATCCGTGGTCCGAAGCTAAGAAGGGATTTTATTTGCGGACAGCCAAACAAACTTCATGTTTGCTACCTGAAACAGGAAGCAGGAGGATATTGACTGGTTTGGGCTGGATCTCATCAGTGTTTCAGTAGGGTGCTGTCTCTCCCATTTTTCTGAAAAGCGTGTCTCAACCTCAACTTTGTGACTGTCCTCCTGATATTTCAACACTTGGGAACGAGTACAGATGTTATGCAGATTTGTTCTGAGATACTAAATACTACTTAATGCAAACCCATTGATCCGAAACACTTCTTCGTAAAGCCCAGTGTCATCTACTGCTCTGCTTGCATGAAAAACAAAAGTTCAGTCACCAGGACAATGTTATCCCACAGTTTTGGGTAATGTTCACTCCCTTAAAAGTCTGATTTGCAGCAAGGTGGATAAACTGACAGTACAAAACTGCCTGAGTCTTGAAGCACTGCTCTCCTAACGTGGCTGCAGGGATGACACAAGGGCTTTAGAGCTCCAAGCTCTATCAGTGATAGGATGCAGTCAGATAAACACGAGTCTTCAAGCTGGGGCAGCTGTCTGCAAGTGCACAAGAGGGTAACCGGTAAACGACTGACTTGTCCCATTCGCACACACCTCTTGCATCAGTGCTGAGCCTGGGGGTGGAGAGAGAGAGAGAGAGAGAGAGGGACAGACAGAAGTGAAGAGAAAAAATACATTGGGAACGGTATGCACCACCTCTGGAGTTGCAGGGTCAGGGGAAAATCCGTTTCATTTCACTCACATTCAACAGAGAATCCAGCTCTTCCTGCTCAATCACAGCCAAAAACAAGTCACAGCATTAGATCCTAGGCCCTGTGTGTCAGGTAATATAGATATTTCTCTATGGGGGGTGGGGGGGCTGTTACCCTGTTTGAGTGTTGGCTAGTGGGGAGGGGAGAGGAAGAGGAAGGGGAAGGGGAAAGAGAAGGTGGGAGGGGTGGAAGAGAGTAAAACACTGTGGGGGTGGATATGTGGTGAGAAGGGGCAAGTGCGGGTTGGGGGTGGGGGTGAGTCGTGTGTTATTTGGTGACGGATTGATGGAGTCAATACCCCAGTGGAGGTATGGAGAGTATGCCCCAGAAGAGGGATGTCCCTGTTATAAAGCAGGGCTTACACTGTGGAGGCATTTAGGGGAAATCTTCATGTTTGGGTGAGGCTTGTTTTTGTTGGGGCAAACAGAGAGATGTCCTAGTTTAATTCCTATAGGATCTTTGCTGGTACTGGCTGGGGCATGAGTTATAGCCTGTTGCGAGTGGGGAAAGCTAATGATAACTTTCTTTTCTTCAGCACATTATTCTTTATAAGCTGTGGGAACAGGTAATTGTCAAAATTATTATTGATTTGTTAATAATAACTTGCATTCGAAGTTGGGAGTGGAGGTTTCCTTCATTCCACACAACCCAGTGTCAGCTCCAACACCCTTCCCGACACCCAGACCACAAAATTGGAAATAACCTTTAATATTCTTTTCAGGCAAGTGTTATCACAGGGGTCCCCTCCTGCCATCTAGTGTCCATGACTCAGCACTGCAGGCACACTACCCATTGTCACAGAAGCCTTTTCACTGATAATGGTCACTGGACCTGAAACGTTAACTCTGATTTCTCTGCACAGATGCTGCCAGACCTGCTGAGTTTTTCCAGCAATTTCTACTTTTGTTCGCTGATCCTGGATTGTGGGGATTAAAGTCTGTCAGATCCACTAGATGTGAGCAGAAAGTTTACAAAGGATTCGAAGTGGAAGTGTGCAGAGAGTGAGTTTATTGAAAGCAAATGAGCTGTAAGCTAGCTTACAACCGGAGAAACATACTCTCTGGCTACCAGCAGCACATATATGGACTTGTTCAAAATGATTGGCTGCCAATTCAAATCTTCCGCATAGCTACCCCCGGATGAGAGTTTCATGCCCACTCTCAGAACCTCCAGCTCTCCGGAATATGGTCTGCTTCTGTGGTTGTCCCCCCAACCCCCAAGATATATTTGCCATCACCTTCACTCAGTCTGAATTCTCTCTCATCTCCTCCATTCTGGAATACTGCTCCCTGTGGTCTCTCCCATGCACTAGTCCAAATGCAAGCTTGCCAACACTGGGAATTAATGATTCAGACACTCACCAGGTACATTAACAAAACTGTGCATTTTATTTTCCCATTTTCTTCATTATTTATTTTCCCTTTGTGCTTTTAATTAACCATATTATATTGTAACAGTGAGAAGTGGCAAATGGAGTTTAATTTAGATAAATGCAAGGTATTGCATTTTGGTAAAACAAACAAGGGCAGCACTGAAATAATTAATGATAGGGCTCTGGGTAATGTTGCAGAACAGAGAGACCTAGAGGTTCAGGTACATAATTCTTTGAAATTTGCGTCACAGATAGACAGGGTGGTTTATCACACTTGTCTTCATTGCTCAGTCCTTTGAGTATAGGAGTTGGGACGTCATGTTGAGATGTACAGGACATTGGCAAGGCCTCTTCTGGAGTACTGTGTGCAGTTATGGTCACCCTGCTATAGGAAAGATATTATTAAACTGGAGAGGGTTTAGAAATGATTTACTGGGAATGGAAGGTTTGAGTTATAAAAATAGACTGTAAAGGCTGGGACTTTTTTCACTGGAGCATAGGAGGTTGGGGGGTGATCTCATAGAGGTTTATAAAATCATGAGGGGCATTGGCAGGGTGAATGACAGGGGTCTTTTCCCTAGGGTTCAAAACTAGGGGACATATTTTTAAGGTGAGAGGAGAAGGATTTCAAAAGGAAATGGGGAGGGGCAACTAATTTACACAGAGTACGGTTCATGTGTGGAATGAACTGCCAAAGAAAATGGTGTATACAGGTCCAGTTAAAACATTTAAAAAATATTTGGGCAGGTACATGAATAGGAAAGGTCTGGAGCGGTATGGGTGAAACGCAAGCAGGTGGGACTGGTTTAGTTTGGGAACATGGTCGGTGTGGATTAGTTGGACCCAAGGGTCTGTTTCCATGCTGTATAACTCTGTAGTAATGAACACACTGCACATAAACACAATAAGCTGCAGAGAATAGCCATGGTTTGATGAGAATAGGAGAGATAAGGGGTAAAACACAAGCTGCTGTGCGTAGGAATTTGCCACCACGACAGCACCTGGTTTCAGAGCTTGATGCATCTGGATTTGAACAGCACCTGGAGATGTACAAGTTTATTTCTCTCTATTTCCTTCCTTATGCACAATTTTCCTCTCAGGCTGCTTGTGAGCTCTTTAAATTGTCCAAACCTAAATCTGAAGTTAGGCTGAGATTCTGACTGAGGAAAGGGAAATGTTAATCTTTTTATGTCACCTGGCACTCGCTAATCGCCACATTGAACCAAAATCAGAAACTATAACTCAACAAGTTTGTTTTGAACGGTGAGTATCTGATAATACCAATGAAATGTAAATGATGACAAATAGGCCTGGCATTGAAGGGATCTGTCTGAAGGCTCGGAATCAGGAAGAATACACCTACCTTATGGGTGCTGCTCACTGACTGGCTCAATATATCATAGATCGTAGAATCCCTACAGTGTGGAAACAGGCCCTTCAGCCCAACAAGTCCACACCGACCCTCAGAGCATCCCACCCAGACCCATCCCCCTATGACCCACCTAAACTACACATCCCTGAACACTAC